TACAATATACATATATGTATATGCATACTATATACGATATATGTATGATATATGTGTCTGTAAAATGTGAAAACCAAACATTTAATTCGAACCAACACGCAGGGTGGAAAATAAATTGCAATGTAAATGCAGCATAAAAACTGAATTAGTACACGAACAATTCCAAATGAGACGAGAGAAAATGCCAGGGCAAGAACAAGAGAAAGAGAGAGCGAGAGAGACATTGAGAGCGAGATGAATTGAAATCTCTGCAATTGCGCTATATAAAGAGGCCCCGAGACCAAGACTCTCGCCAAATGCACACAAATAGCGCATTGTGCGGAGGGGCTGCTCACATTTCGTATACACCGCGGGCCGCTTAGGGTGCGAACAGTTTTTGGAAATGGGCAAAAAAAAAAAAAAAGAATCCAAAAAATAATGCCATACGGTGTTGCCTGGCCCATAACATCTGACACAATAATTCACTCTATGCCCAGAAACCTTAGTGTGCCAGCACTTTATTAAAATAAGAAAATATGTGCACGAATTATGGCTGCTATCGAGCATGATTGAATTCATCTAGAGCTCAATGATTGGCTCTGTCCCAGAGTATTAATTATGCAGTAACTTATTAGTTCCCTGGCATCAAGAAATTATTTATTCAAGTTCGGGTAGCGTATCTCATATTTAAAGAGGAAAATTTGAAAATGTCCTCATTATGTTCCTAACTCCACAGCGAGAAGCATCAAAAAACTCAGATAAGAAAATTCTAATAAAAAATCCATTATATTCTAAAATTATTTCGTAAGTTGCGTTTTTCAATAGAAATATAGCTTTGAGCATTTGCAAGCGTTTGAGCAGATATTTATTAGTTCCTTGACAAGAAACTATTATTTAAAAAAACGCACAAAAACATTAAAAAAAGCAGAAAGCAGCTGAAGTAAACTTCTTTCTCAGACAATTAAATTGAATCGAAACCCAATAACAAAAACATAATAGAAAATATATAAACACATTCTTCCTTCCAACTCTTCATCCAATCCCAGCCGGAGCAACATAGAAAAAATAATACCCACTGATTAAAGATTCCATCATTTGCATCACAACAATTTCTTAGAAATAAAAATAATATTTACCAAAGCCCCTTTGTTAGCTTTTAAGCAGGAACTTATTAGTTTTCTGGTAACAAGATAATCTTTGTCAAAGTCCAAAGAATATTCCAAGTAAATGTAAAGCAAATACTCATTATGCGCCTGCAAGAAATTCATTGGAAAAGCGCACAATGCTATCCTAGACTAGCTAAGGAAATAATTGCTCGCTTGGCATCAAAACAGATATTATTAGCTTACAAGCGACATAGACGAAGACCTCAACAAAGAGCGCTGTTTTAGTTGTAAACTAATAAAAATATTATAAAATTAATTAGCTAACTTTAAACACAACAATTAACTTTAAGTTGGATGACAATTTCAATAAATTAATGGATATTTAGAAATGTAAAATTTTACTAATACAAGGGAATTCATTTATCTTTATCTTCTTTTATCTTCTTCACTGCAAAGGCTAAGGTTATTAAACTTCTTAAATAAATTTGTTTATTTCGCCGATTCCATTATTCTTGATCAGTATCGACAGCCGAGTCGATATATACTCCCAGTTACAGGAATCGATACGCTTCTTGCCGAAGTTGCCCAACTCTATTCATTGTCGAATTGGCGCCCAACGTGTGTAAGAAACCAAAGCATATCCGGTGCATCCCCTAGAAATTTATTGTCCGTTTCGTGTGGCCACAAAACAATCATAGGAAATAGCCACAATGTCAACGCTGCCAACATTTCAAGCAAACAGGCAGCTACTACTGACGTTTCTTGAGTAAAATGTGGCTATGGCCAGTCATGGCGTTCCGGCTAGGCGTGTCAAGTGTGGCAAGGATTAAATTAGCTTAATTTAATTCAAGACTATTGAACAGGAACAACTGAAACAGTCTAAGAGACAGATAATCATATATTTAGCCGATAGCTTACACTACATCTTTAAGAAAGCTCCATTCCCTACGTAAATGTATGCAATCTTGATAACACATGGAAAAGTTTATTCAAATCGCGCTCAATATATATAGACAATTTAATATACAACTCTGTTTATTTAATACATGTGTTTTTTAGAAGCAAAAAGAAAGACCCCAAGAGATACATATATGGCAAGAAAATATTGGCGATATTACTCAATGAGATGGGACCCTCAATTACACCCATTATCGGCCTGGAAACTGAACTGACCTATAATATCCGAGGCAAGACTTAAGGCCGAAACTTTTTAGTTTATTGGCAACAGATCGCTATTGTTTATGCACTTGATGATAGTTCTTAATAGCTTATTTGTCAATTGGCAACAGGATAATGTTTATCAATATCAAAACTAAAAAAATTAAGATCTTCATAAAAAACTTATTAGTTAATCGACATGAGGTCGCTACTGTTGATGCAAGCCCTAACCAGGAACTTATTAGTTGCCTGACAAAAGGATAAATCATAAAATGATTTCTTTATGAAGCCCTGGACGTGTTGTAGCTTAAAAGAAAAATCACATGGCGTGTGAATGTAACAAAAATTGGCTCACAAAAATGTTAAAGAGAAAGAAAACTTTGAAAATCGTAAAACTATAAAAATTTGTTGCATACGCACATGCATAAAATCGCATTTACACATATGTATGTACGTACATACACACACATGTGTACATACATTAAATTAAAAAAATGAACAAAATATTTCTTGGAAATGACAGCGAGGCGCAAAGCCACGTGTCGCGCCTCTGCGTCCGAATAACAGACACATGCATTGTGTGAAAGCAGCAAAAGAAATATATAAACAAAAAACTTTTCATGCAAGACAAAAAAATGTATGTATATATAAAAGTCGCATACTGCCAGTTTACAGAAAAACAAACAAAAATTATTTGCAGAGCAAATTTCTTTTTTCTCATAGCGAAAGTCACGAGTGAACGCTGGCGCGTCGGAAAAATGAATGCCGTTTGGCAAAGTGCTAAGCAAGTACTTGAGGTAAAAAGTATCGATTACTTCTTGTGCGGCGCTGCACAACACTGGCTGTGAAATTAACAGTAAAATGTTTGGCATGTGCCATTCGCTGGCATTGCGCCCACTTTAAACAATGCGATGCACACATACACTCAAATGCGCTGCCCGCATATACATGTGTATGCATGTATGTGTAGAAAACTACATGCAGTTGAAATTCGAATTCATATTATGATGCATGAGCAGCGGTGGCGGCGGCAGCGGCAGCGACAGCGGCAGCATCGTTCAACCCCCCAGAGAAGCGTCGGGCGCAACGAGAAATGGCTTTGTCAACGTTTGCAAAGCAGACTAAGCAACTGCAGGCCCCAGGATCAGCGGGCGACGACGGCGCTGAGCATGTGATTAGATTCAGTTTCAATGGAAATTGAAATCAGAGACAAAGCGTAGCGCAGCCACCATGCCCAGCTGGGGTATGGCAGGGTTGCAAAAAGTGTACGGTAAAAGCGTTGCCAAGAAGAATGTGAATGATTTTCGTCGGGTTGCAGTCGTCGTAGTATGTAGTTGTACCCGGGCATTAAGAGTGCTACGGCCACTGATTCATGGAGATTTCTTGCTGTATTTTTTTTGTTGGTATTGGTAGAGCACAACCACTAAACGTCAACCACCAACGTCAACGGCAGCGCGTCGCGGCACACATTCATGCGTGCGTGCGTGTGTGTGTGTGTGTGTGTGCTGTGAGCGCTCGTAATATTCTTTCGCTGCCGAGATTAACACCAGGCAACGCACGGACGCCGGCAAGGCAAAAATTATAATTCGTGCTGCGTCGCTGGCGTTGGCAGCATCAGCAGCAGCGCAAATCGGAAAATCGTTATACGTTGAATATACCACAAAATCGCGGTCGGCAGCGGCAACTCCGTTGTGTTGTTTTGGCCGGCACCCGCAACTCCTGGCGCTCCTCACACTCGCGCATCGAATTCGAAGCCTGCCACAGCGGCAACGGCAACGGCAGCATCAGCCGCATTTTAATTTTGTGGTGCGTGCGTTTTACATACATATACATACATACATACATAAATACATATAAACGGATTTCTTTGCTATTTGCCGTCTCGCTCTGGCGCTCGCTGCGGTCGTGTTTTGTGGTTAATTTAAATAAATAATCCTTAAAGTGCGGCTTATTTTTACAGTCAGTGCATGCGGCATAATAAATGCGCGATAATAAAAACAAACAGTGCACAAATCAATAAATAATTAAAACAAATATTAAGTACACATTTTAAAAAATACTTTCAAAATAAATATTTTTATAACCAAAAACTAGTTAAAAACGCGCATATTTAGAGATTATATGCAAAGCGCCATCTGTGTGTAGCTTTGTGAAAGTCTAAACATGAACATAAAATTGTTTCTAAATCAACCTAATTAATTGATAATAAACAAAATCTTTTCCAATTGAAAAGTATGTTTATATTTTCAAGCCTATGAAATTCTATGTAATCCTAAACATGGACAAATGTGCAAAGTTGTTCAGAAAATGTTTAAAAAGATACGATTTTATATATAAAATAAAATATGTATTCAATATTAAAATGATTAGATACTAAATACATACTTAATATTTAATATATATTTTCATATTTAAATTGAAATCAAAATAAAAAATACAAATAAATGTAAATTACAAATTTGAAGAATGAAAATTAAAAAAAAAACAAAATAATGAATAAAATAAAAAGTAAATTAAATTAGTCAATTTTAAAATAATAAATATTTTTAGCAATAAAATACAAATGTTAAAATCCTCGCTTAAAAAGGCGAACGTTTTCAACATACACAAAACGCCCTCTGTGGCAAAGCTTTTCAACAAGCTCAAGTTTTCGCAGCTGCCCGCCAGCTGGCGCTGCAGTTACTATGCTGACAGCCCTGCTTAACTGTTCTGTTAGCGAAAAATATATCGAGGCGACTACCCTGTAATTACACATTCGGCTGCTCAGCATTTAAATTGTTTTTGGCATTTTTGCAGAATAAACTATATAAATGGATCCCTCGAATTTGCCTTTTGGATTCCCGGGTCTGCCCGGTCACGGACACATGCCCATACCGCCCACGGCCAATATGCTTGGCGCGCACGGACATCCAGCGCCCACGGCCAGTCCGCCGCAAAGCGTGCCTGGACGTCGCACACCGCTCGGCTCCGTGGGCCTGGGCGGCTTTTATGCCCAAGGTCTGGGCATGTCGCAGCAGAGCATGACGCCCACGGATGAGAATAAGCCCGGGCCCAGTGGAACCGAGAAGCCTCTGAGTCCCACGGCTGCGGCGATTGCGGCCATAAGCGGCGGCACCACCACAGCGGCCATGTCCAGCATTGGCGGTGTTGGCAGCGGCGGATCTGGCGGAAGCGGCCCGAATGGGGGCAAGCAAAAGAATCGTCAGGGCAAGACGGTGCGACTGAATATCAATGCGCGGGAGCGCAGAAGAATGCACGATCTGAACGATGCGCTGGATGAGCTGCGCAGGTAAATGACAAAACAAACTATATATGACAAGTTTTCCGGACTGACCAATTGACTTATTGTGTTACAGCGTGATTCCCTATGCGCACTCGCCCTCGGTGCGAAAACTATCCAAAATTGCCACCTTGCTGCTGGCCAAGAACTATATATTGATGCAGCAGAATGCGCTGGAGGAGCTGCGCAGGTATGTGCTCCGTATTTAACGCTATACGAAAACATTCTTTAATCTATTATAATTTACAGACTGCTTGCGTATATACAGAGCACCACGGGCGCCGCTCCTCTCGATTTGGGCGCCTTTCCGGCAGCGGCCAAGCTGCAAGCGCTGCTCGCAGGACCACACCATGAGCCGCCCACAAGCAGCAGCAACAGTTAAATGCTGCTCCACTAGAAGAAGCTGTTTGCCATTAAGCAAGAGAGGAAGCAATACACGTCTATGTTTAAGTCAATTGAAGAGCCAAATAATTGTGTACTAGTCAGGCCAGAAGGTTGAGCATCTGTTAAGTGATATTTAGTTCTTTTATAAGCATTTCCTTTATGCATTTACATATATACTATATATATATATTGTCTGTATAGATTGTAAGGCGAATATAATCAGTACGCGCAATAAAATACATTCTAGAACAACCAATCGGAGAGAACAGGGCAGGTATCTGATATGGCAAATGGTGTGATTAAATTCGATTTTATTTGAATAGGCCCTTTTTGTTGAGGCAGAAACAAAGTTCGCAGTTTAGCTGAGAGATCTGATGTGAAATCAATTAAATTTGTTAAAATTTGTTCGCAAGACAATTAACATAAATGATTGCATATTGGATCCTACGGCTGGGAGCGAGAGTACGCTTTAATCTCAGGCAGACAACAAGTTTTGTAGACATGCAAAAATAGGCTCTGACATAATTTATTGGGTATAGAGACTAGCATTTGCATTTGTAATATAAGAAATTAGAAATAAGAAATTAAGGCAGATTTAATACCCTTGTAGACATTTGCTTTATGGTTTTGCGGATATTTGAGAATAGTGAGGCTCGAGTTTGTTGAAAATATCTTGTAGAACATTGTTCCAATGGCAGCTAAATGATATAGTGGTCCGATGTTGATAAGATCTTTTATATATATATGAGAAGCATTATAAAACTTATAAATGTCGAGATTGGTAAAGATATTTTGTTAAACATAAAAGTTTTCAATACAAGAACCTACGTTTCGACCAATCGTTTCTATGACAGCTATATGATATAGAGGTCCGATCCGGCAGGTTCCAGAACAGGAAAGACGTCCTATATAAAATGTCAAGACGATTTTTTTAAGCTGAGAGACTAGCTTGCATAGAATCACAGAAACGGACGGACAGGCAGACTCACAGGCGGACATGACTATATCAACTCGGCTGTTGATGTTGATCTGGAATATATATACTTAATGGATTCGGAGATGACTCCTTCTATGCTTTATATATTTTATGACAAAATTATAATTAATAATAATAGTTTTTATAGACTACCTTGCCGGAGTTAGTATGTGGGGGACTTTAGTATAACAAAATTTTCATTCGGTTCTTCTTTTCATGTCATAAGCCGAAAAGAAAATATGCTATCTGTGCTAGATTTTCAATATCCAATCTTAGCTAGATTTTCAGCATAGAGTTAAGCTTCAAAAGGAAAGAAATTTAGCTAATTGCTGTAGATAATCTCTAGGTAAATTGACTTTCTCATTGCGGCCTATTTAAAATGTGTAACAAAACTAGTTCGTCATTTAAATTGCCTCCTTAGCGTAGTTCTACTGTATTCGCACACGCCATTGAAAATATTGCTCAATCATGCGTTTTGTTTAAACACAATTAACATTTAATAACATTCAATAATCAGACATGTAAAACAGGCAATTAAGCACTAAATCGCTAGAACAGCAATATAATCAAATGCACAAATAGTCTATATATATATTTATATATATATAGATGTATGTATGTGTGTGTATGTATGTGCACAATTTGTATAGGTGTAAACTGTTGATGAAAACAAAAACGCTGATTAACACTTTTACTTAAAAGCTAAGAATATGGGAATACTCGAATATGCGAAATAAATAAATGTATGTAAGACAAGCGGAGCGGGACGGCTTGGTAGCGAGCTCTATTTAATAAGGAAGTAATCCCAATGCCGATCAGTCCGGTATGCCCGAGGACAGCACCTTGTTCTGACCCGTACGAAAGATGCATTGGGATGCCGGCAATTGGCCAATCAGGAACTGACGCATTTGCTCCACCGCATGACGCGAATGGCCAGTGCCATGGAAGGCAATGGTGGCATCGCGACCCGCATGATCCATGATGATATCATCGCCGCCGGGATGTTCGCGCAAAAACTGCGTCACATCGTAGACGCGATCGTAGATGACAATCCAGCAATCGTCGAAACTGTCATGATGTGCCACCTCCTCCAGCGTGATTTCGGGCGCATCGATCCTGCCTTTGGTCTTCTCTACGCTGGGCAGAATGATGACATCGCCCGTTTTGCCAGATTTGCTAACGGCTGCGAGTGGTCCAATGCGCAAAGTTTGCAGCAGATTTGTCAATGCCGATGCCATTTGGTTCCGGTATTTGGTATATATTGCAATCACTAGACGGTCCGAACTTTCGCTTTTTTTTATTTATATATATATTTATATATTTTTTTGTATATTATCGCAACGACGTCACCCGCGTGCCAATTGGAGCGTCAAGTAGTCAAAGTCCCTCACTCTCTCTCTCTCTCTGAATGTGTCTCAGTTTTAGTTTTAGTTTTTTTCTTTGGTTTTCAGTTTGGCTGGCCCACAACAGGTCCGGTCTAGTTGCGGCTCGTGTGGCTACTGGCGATCGAGTGTCGTTCGTGCCGTCGGCTGTAATCGCTTTATAAGTGGCAACACGTGAATCTTGGGCTCGCGGCGAGCGCTGATAAGGCTTCCAGCGGCCGACCACAAACTAGCGACGGGCGCCCAGACAAAATGTTACATATCTGTAGCCATAGCCAACTTTTATTATTTATTTCATCAGCAATATTATGTGTAGAATGTAGACTCAAAAGTTAAGGCATAAAAACTTAGCAGGGAAATTCGGCAAAAATTAAAACGAAATTCGCATTCAATAAAATTACCCAAAAAGAATCGAAGGGAAATTCGGTCAAACTTAAAAGGAAATTCACAAATACTAGGGAAATTCGCTGAAAGGGAAAATTCCCACAAACCAAATTCTACTGTGTGGAAGAAAAATCGAAGGGCAATTTGGCAAATATTAATAGGAAATTCGCTGAAAAAAAATCAATGGGAAATTCGACTAAAATTTAAAGCAAATTAGAAGTCGAGAAATCAAATTCTTTTGTATATTAAAATCTAAGAGAAATATGGGTAAAAGAATGGAAATTCGCTTAAAAGAAAATTTCGTAGAAATTATGCGCTGTTATGTAAAAATATCCAAGGGAAAATCGCCAAAAATTAAATGGAAATTTATTGTGAACAAAATTGATCAAGAATCTAATCTAACTGAAATCGAATGCAAGCCGAAATTCCTTCATTCGCAGTAGAGTAAGCCTGTGAAAGCTTCTAACTAAGCATAGAGAAAATCAGGCAAATTTTTTCAATTTGAAGATAGAAAATAAAGGGATATTTACAAGACACTCGTGACAGTAAAGGGGGCCTCTTAGCTGTTAATTCAGCATTAGATCAATTTTATCAAATAATTTGGATTGCTGCCAGTTATTGAAAATCGGAAATTCTGCTCACAGCACAAAGCTCAAGCTCATAAACCATTGTGTCTTATCGGTTTTTACAATTGATTAATTGCGGGCAATTAAAACTGCATTAAAATGATTTACATATCATGTTTGTTGACTTAACCTTGCCCCAGCATTCATATATAAGCATATACATATTTATAAATTTATAAAAATAAAACGGCTTTGTTTGTGTTTACAAGATTTATATACTTTTTTAAAAATGAGTAATTAAACATTTGCAGCGATAATACGTGTATGCATATAAGCGTCTACATAAAAAAACGCTGTGCAGATTATTAATTGAATATTACCGAAATTTTTAAAATTGTGACGCGCGTCAAATGGGCAACAACCTTATAAGGTATATTAAAATTAAATATATATATATTTTTTTTGGAAATTTACCTGCCCATTTTGTTATAGGCTTAAGTCGGGAGAGAGATACGCTTAAGACAACAGGATGTCGATATCGATTCTTATCGGGGAAAGTTATCGATTATGGACAATAAGGGCACCAGGAGGACCTACGTTCAAGTCTCTAGCTCTTATAGACTTATAAAAAGTATAAAAACTTTTTAATTTAAAAGCTATTAATCTATATATTACAAAGTTGCCACACAGACATATGCAATGCAATACGCAATTCAACAAAATATTTAACAAAAATATTTGTAATAAAAAATGCCACATTCTAGAAAATATTTTTGTAAGGCGTAATGCTCGGGACATAAATATTTCCCCATAAATATACGCACATAGCTGACGCCTGTGCTGATAGTGTAAGAACCGAGTAAACTTGATATGTTGAGAAATCGAAATCAATGTTAAGATCAACAATTGTCAATCCAGTGCTGGGGCTTCAGCTTAGCAATTGAATAGAATAGAATAAATCGATAGTTTGACGCGTACGTCTCTTAAACTGGGTTACCCGACTTGACTTTGACTAGGAGGTCAGCATGTGCATGTTTGCCAACCGCAATCATATCATGTTTCGTGTTTGAACTTGAGATAATATAAAGCCAACCAAGCACTTAATAAGCTTCCAACTTGTTCACAATCCCATCAAAATTATTATATAATTGAATGACAGGCAATGCACAGCTTTAGGTTTTGGGAATATGCGTGTTACAAAAAAGTGTTTGAAAGTAGATAAGGCAGAGATTCGAGAGTAATCGACTCTACAATACCCTGTTAGGGCATAGTATTAGTATATATGGGTATATTTAGTAGATAAACTAATTCACAATCCTATCAATATTATGGGAACATGCGTGCCACAAAAAAGTGTTTGAAAAAGTAGATAAGGCTGTTATTTGAGATTCGAGAGTAATCGACTCTGAAATACCCTGTTGGGTTATAGTAATAGAATAAAGAGGGTATTTATATATATAGTATATATATGGTATATATTTACTTTTGTTCTCCAGCCGATCGGCCTTCAAATAATTTTAAAAGATCTTTGTCAAAATTCATTTGAGACGTGCTTCACATTTTTCGCAAAATTCTAAGATTCTAAGAAAGTTTTTTGTTTACCGTCCGATCGGGTTTCAAAGATTATTAAGAGAATTTATTTTGAACATACCACGGGCAAGGCGCGGGTATACCCGCTATAATCCTATATAGACATAGGTCATTATTTCCCACTCCCATAACTCGGTCAAACCTATAGTCTGTAGACTAATTCACAATCCTATCAAAATTATTTATAATATAATGACAAGCAATTCACAGTGTTAGTTTTCGGGAATGTTCGTGCCTCAAAAAAGTGTTTGAAAGTAGATAAGCCAGAGATTCGAGCGTAATTATCTCTGAGAAACCCTGTTTATATATAATATAGCATAGATGTTTTTTCTTTGACGTATAGTCATATAGACGTAGCCTTATCAAAATCTGTGAATAATTAAATTTACATGCAGGCCATTGTTCCGATGTAATGACAAAGCATTTTTTTCAAGTTCATGCTTTCCTGTAAATAATATACTGCACTTTCTTGATAATGCGCAAAGGTTTACTGCATAATTTTCTGGAACAGATTTTGTGTTTATAAAAATATTATTAATATTATTACTCTTCATTCGATTTATATTATTAAATTTTTTGTATTAATGATATTTCATTCATTTTATTGAAATTTCAAAACAAAATTTTGTGGCCCGGTGGCAACGCCAAAAGTAACTGTAAACAAAGGAGCTTTTTGGCTTGTGCTTGTACCGTCAGCTAGTTGACATTGAATTGCTTTGGCCGTGAGCGAGCTTTTGACTAATGTGACAGCTGTTGCTTATGCGCAAAGCTTTTGCCCAAAACTTTTGATACGCGCAGCAAACGTTGCATATTTATTGGTTTTGAAATAAAATGCCGGCTCTTGGTGAGAGATTGAAAAAAAAAAAATATTCAAAAAATATTAATGAAATTATTTTAACTATAAATTAACTTTTGAGGTCTTCAAAACTGATCTAACGTTCAGCATGCTAATATGTAGCTTGCATTTTAGGAAGCGAAACTTTCTGGTTAAGTTGATGTGTGAGTGTGTGCGTACGTGTGTGTGCGTGTATGTGTGTGTTTGTATGAGGGAATGCGGCTAAAGGCAACTGCGTGTAAATTTTTGGCGAACAACAACACAGTCGAGTTTCAGCAACGCGTTGGCCAAGTTGTTGCTGCTCTCAAGTCGCATCCGCTAAAAAATCATAAATATATATACAGAAATATATATTATAATATACGCTTGTATATTTTTGAGAGATGTTGTCGAATTCGTTTAACCAAAGTGCGCTGAACTAATAGAATTAAAAATTAATAAGGCCGCACAAATAAGGAAATTGCTTTTTAAACTCTGAACATTCAAACCGAACGGAATGCCGCGCTTTTAGAGCATATTGCGCATACGACACGTCGAGCGCCAGGATAAGTAAACATATTGTTGCGAAAAAAATTTGTACGTGCAGCTATTCGAGGACCATAAATTGTTTTTGTTGCACATACACTGTGTGTGTGTGTGTGCGTGTGTGTGCGCGTGTGTGTGTCTACTCTGACTGTGTGTGACACATTGTAAATAAACGCAAATAACGGGTAAGTGCTAAAGCCTGGACTTAGGGCTTGCTTTGTGCAAGTATTTGTAGGCTCAAATTGAATTTAAAATTTAATACAAAGTTGACAGTTAAGCTAAAATTAATATATAATATATAAATTAAATTTTAGTTTAACTGGCCAAAAACAAGCATAATATAAATATATTATATATAAAAGAACTTATATATTTATTTGACTGTACTTTTTACTGCCTGAATGTGATTTTTTAAACATTCAGTTAAAGGTATATTTTATATATTTTTATAAAATGTGCTTTAAACATTTCCATTGGGGTATGTGTTATATAAATAGATAAGTTTTCAATGTTTTTACTGCAGAAATGTATTTTTATACCCTGAACCCATTAAAAATGGGCAGAAGGAAGCTTATCCGACCCCATAAAGTATATATATTCTTGATCAGCATCAATAGCCGAGTCGATTTAGCCATGTCCGTCTGTCTGTCCGTCCGTCCGTCCGTATCTATGAACGCAAGGATCTCAGAACCTATAAGAGCTAGAGACTGAAATTTTAGATGTAGGTGCTCCTAGTGCCTGCGCAGATCGAGTTTGTTTCCGATAATCGATAACTTACTCCGTTTCCAAGCAATCGATAAAAATCTATTCTAAAATAGAAAATATATATGCATTTGATGTTGGAAGAAAAGGGGTTCAGGGTATTCCCTAGTCGGGAGCTCCCGACTAGAACCTCTTACTTGTTTTTTATTCAAAATATATTTTCTTGCAGCTTTTTTTTTACATAAGTCCAAAAATATTTCAACAAAATATATTTTTTATTTATTTCGATTCTCAGAGAATAATTAATTTAGCTTTCAGAATACCAAAACTTTCTAATTTGATCATTGAAAATTCATGATTTTCAGTTTTAAAAAGTTCTCCAAACATACATACAAAAAAATATATACCTTTATTGCCTTAATTGCTTTTAAGCCACATTTATTTCACTTTTATTTAATTAAATACGACAAACGTAGGCAACATCGATAGACATAACAAATGAAATTCTTCATTTTGACAGCGACAATGTAATTAGTATTGTTATTTGGGCTGCATGCATTAAAATTTAATTCCAAATAATTGAAACGGCAATGCGTATAATCAATATAAATTGCACCTTTGGCAAACGCCTAAAATAATTGAATATTTATCAGTTGATTATGGATTCAGGCGTTCATTCATGCAACACGCATACGCAGCGTGGGCGACAGCCTAACACAAATTCATATCAAATCCTACAGCAAGCAAAAAGGAGAAACACAACAACAACAACACATTTTTATACATTTTTCCACAATTTTACATTTCAATTTGTTCATATTGGAGAGTTGGAAGAGAGACGAAGGGGTTACACCCATATTGTTGTATAATGCTTGCTTTCAGTGGGACCTCAGAGCAGAAATGTGCAGGCGGAAATACGCCTTCATTCAGACTTTAAGCCCCTGTTTCAATTTACCGCACGTCGGAGTGTGTGCGCCGAGGTGTGTGTGTGTGTGTGTGTGTGCCTTGGCTGAGATTTCTGTGGAGAATACAAACGGGCCTTAGCCTGCTTAACCCAGCGGAGCATGCAGTGGGCCAACTCTATTTACCTTGGACAGGCCACTCAAACACGGTCACGCCCTTGAAACACTCACACTCGACCTTCGGACAGAGAACGGCAACAGAACAGAACAGAGCGGAACAGACAGAGGACATGTTGGCCAGGATCACGTTGGCCAACATATTGCGTTTTATTTCAAGTCAAAGAGGCTGCATTTTAGAAATTGCATGCATAATAGTCAAGTCTAAGCAGACCATGAATATTTATCACGTGTCCAGGATTAATGCATTTTTAATGCAAAAACCACATACCCACAAGCCGCATTATCCGCCAAAGGACATTGATGGCCTGGGGCGTGGCGCCAATAAAACCAGGGCAAACGGTGTGGCGGAAGGGGGGGTGGGGGTTGACGGAGGGCGAGGTCTGGGGATGGGCCACGCCTGAGGCAAAGGCAACGCCAAAGGCAGCTCCTCAATATTTGTTGACATGCTGAGTTATTGGCAGGGCGGGTCACAAACTGCGGCTGCAGCTTTGGTCTTTTTACGCACACACACACACACACACACACACAGAAACACACAGAGACACACAAGCGCGTTCAGCTTGTGTATTAATAGCCCACTTATTATATTCCTTGTTGTTTTATGTCCGGCGAGTGTTCTGTGTGCAAGCAACATGTGTCCCGAGCATATTGCGCTTTAATGATCAAATTTTCGTATACCCTACCAGAGGATATCATGATATTGTCATGCATTATGGCATTAGAAACTATGATATTTGCTGACAAGAAATTTGCAGCTGAGATAATGATTTTAGGTTTCCTGCCAGAAAAATAGAATATTTAAAATCTTTAAAGATAGTGTAAAAATCAATTGCAAATATTTATTAATTCCAGGCAAAGTTTGAAAGTCACAGAATTACAGTTTTAGAGTCAGCAAAACAGCTCTTTTCAACTGATTGAAGAGTGTTTGTTTTTTTTCTATTTAAGAAATAATCAGACCTGAGCACAAATTATCGAAAATTAAGCAGTATTTAAGTATATTTACTAAAATACCCAACTATAGCTTAGGTAAGGGTATTCAAGTGTCGCTAAGCCAACTCTTACTTGTCTTTGTTTATTTGTCTGCTTTTGGGGCAATGCTACGCATATTACTTCGGCTGCCTCATTATTAAACTGCTGTTTATCTTGTTTCTGACAAGTTTTCCTTTTTTTGGGGGGGGTTCTCTTTGTTTCTGTGTTGGGGTTCCATTGTTTAATGGCCTGTGGCATATTGACATATGTTGGTTGGATTTTAATAGCCATTTGCATTTGCATTGCAGGTTTTTCTTTTTTTTTTGTTTGCTTTTTCGTGGAATCAGTTTTCACTTTAGTCCTGAGACTTGACTCGAGAGCTGTTTCTGACAGAATGAAATCAATATAAGAAAAAACTTTTATTTCTTTTTTTTTTATGAATTTTCCAAGAAAAACTTAAGGGCTGCGTCGCAAGCAGAAAGTTGACAGCTTAACAAACTTTGCGCAAACTTTTTCGAATAAATTGTCGGAGCTCCCTTTTGATTATTCGCAAAACTAATTTAGATTATGCTCACACTTGGACACATAATGAATATCAATAAACACAAGGGTATAGAAACTCTATCAAAGATACATAATTCACAATTTAATATTGTTTCCTTCTTTTTTTCTGCTAAGCGTGTCGATTTTTCCGATAGCTCTCATAGAAACTGTCGATTGATATTTCATTTGTTTCTTAGTTTTTTTTTAAGCTATTCTAAACAAACTCGCAATTTATATGCTTTACTTGATCCTATTAACTAATTTCATTCAAGCAGCATTTTATTATTAGTTTAAATTGATAGTTTTAGATAGTCAGATATTGTTGCATATGGGAAATTGTAAAACGAATCGAAATTAAAATGTAGAGTATTTTATCTTAGGTCTACAGCTACTTGATAATAAATTGAAATTAATTTCAAAAATTGCCAGCAAAGGTATGCAACATAAAATTTAAAAAAAAATGCAATAAGCTTATCTAATCCTACCATGGAATTAGTCAATAGCATATAAATAAATGTACAAATATCTCCTTGGTGCTTTAGCTACTTATGACACTTGCCGGAGCTCAAAGCGAATAGGCTTTAATTCGTACAAGCCATAAATATTCATTGGCGGCTAATTACACAAGTCTATGGCCCAGCCAGTTGTTGTTGTTGTTGTTGTTGTCATTGATGCTGTTTTGGGGCCAACTGTTGAGAGTAGAGAACATAATGGCACAGGCAAAGTCAATGCCAAAGGCGGCAATAATCAACTCGCAGCAGCAGCAACAAAATGAACAACACGCAACAATGTCCGCAATGTCAATGACTAGGATAGGGGAGAAGTCGGGTTTGGGAGGGCGATAATGATGTTGTTGAGAAGAAATACTATAGCTACGACTATATCATTATATGGGCATTACAAATTGCTGACGGCTGATTGCCTGACTGTGGACGACTGCCTGGCAGCTCATGTTCATATTCTGAGTAGCATTTATCACGCTTGCCGTCGGGCTACTCGGGCGCATACTTAACGTCTGCTTTTATAGAGTTTCTGCGCATGTGAAGGATTAAATTTACGCCTGTTGCCAGCCAGCAGCATTCACGGCACTCGTACCTCGCGGAATTTAAACAAAAGAAACAAAGCAGGGAAAAAACACTTTGCTACGTGTGGCAAGTCGTGTGTGCCACAAAGGGGAAAAATAAAAGCTGAGCTGCTCATGATGCGGCTGCTGCTGCCTGGCCCACTTGGACTCGCTCGACGGTAATCTAATTATGGCAATGCGTTCGAGCAAACAAGCTGGAAACTCTTGATGGAGACTTTTCCGCCGACTATGTGACAGCCATAAAATTCATATAATAATAGAAATTTCAATCGAATTGCGACAAACTAGGCGAAAGAATAGCCAACTTTCAGCTAGCCTTAAAGTCTGGCTACTATTTTATGGCAAAAGTTAAAGAATCTTTCAAATTTTTGTTAAATTGATATTAAACAGTAGCAGAGTTGAAAGAAAGAAAAAAAAATGCGTTTAATTATAGGAAATAATACAATTTTATAATATTTAGTACAAAACACACTTTGTTTAATTTCCAATATTGCTTCATCACATTCGTCCCAAATTATTAAATAAAACTGTATAAAACCAATTTAAGAACTTTTAGAGGGTATTATAACTTTGTCAGGAAATGTGTAACGCATAGAAGAAGTCTCTGACCCCATAAGGTATATATATTCTAGATCAGCATCGACTGCCGATTTGATATAGCCATGTCCCTCTGTCCGTCTGCCTGTTTCGATGCAATCTAGGTCCGTCTTTCTGTTGCAGGCATTACATATGGCATACATATATCATATAGCTGTCATAGAAATGATCGGTCGAAAAGTAGCTTCTTGTATGAATAACTTTTGTCTTATAAAGCTCCCTACACATCGATATATACATATACATACATATAACATCGGCTCACTATATCATTTAGCTGCCACAGGAACAATCGATCGAGAATGAAGTTCTTGTACTAAAAACTTTAGTGTTCATCAAGGTATCGAAAAAAGCGTCATTTATCAGTTTAACTATGCTCTTGAGATATATGCATAATCCCATCAGCATATGTCATATATATATCTGGCATAGAAACTATCGGTTAAAATAAAGAGTTTTTGTATGAAAAACTTTTTGTTTAACAAGAATTCTTGACCAAAGCTCGCCATTTACTATTTAAACTATTCTGCTTATAAGCTCATAAGCATACTTTTATATTATTTAGATTTAAAGGAAGAATCTTTCGAAAATTGAGTTTATGTATGGTAAAATATTCTGTTTTCCAAGATATTTGCACCCAACTCTGAATTTGCATGCTTCACTATTCTCACATCTAAGCAAAATGTCTAAAAGGGTATACAATCATCGGTGTTCCAATTATTCTGACAACTCTGACAGGAAATATAATAATGAAATTATTTTATTGCGCATTTTATGGACTGACAACGAACCTAACACGACCTGACTGATGCTAGAGCATTCGGTGTAGGGTATTAAGGCCCGACTTGATAACAGACTTGCAGCTGTGCCACAGACGCACCCCAGCAGCAAGCAACAGTTGTCGTGGGCGTGGGCGTGGTTATGGGCATGGTCGTGGCGGTTCGTGTCGCTTCATTGTGTGACAAACACTTCATTAGACTAATGAACATAATTTGCCGTAATTGTGCAATTTGATGTCGCTAGCCGCTGGGAACTTGTGTTTTTTATTCGCGTCTCTGTATATGGTATATATACTTTTTAAGTTAAGTGAAAAAAGAAAGGCGAAAAAAACAAAATGATAAACTGATGTTGAAATTGCTCGCGGCGCCGCATGAAATCAGAACAACAATGCCTGCTCGTGAAACGGAGCGTGGGGCAGGCATTGAACCATGCCCCTATCGATTAGATAAAATTAATTTTAGACACTGAGTCAATATACAAAATATATATATTTTAGCAGAAAAGTGCGGCTGACAGGCAGCTGGCGATTTATGATTGGCCTTGACTTTGCCGCTGTCGCAGCCGGAAATAGTGCGGCCCCTTTATCTGAGGCTGGCTGGCAGGAAAATATAGTGAAAATATGCGATAAAAGCACGAAAATTGTTTATAAAATGCGAACGGTCGCATCAGGACAACAGGCCACAAAGGCCGCAGTTTTCTGCATACCAAATTTATGGCAACTGTGATAAATTTGCGGTTGCCATGAATCCGTATAACAAAGTACAACAACTAAATTGTCAGCTAAAAGGCTGTAAAATACATTAGAGTCTTCCCCATGGTTGCCACAGAAACTGCGCAACATGTGCGAGGCATCACAATTTGTAGTCTGCAACCCGACATGCGAGGCAAGGAGGTGATTAGAGAGTGGGAGAGACGGGGGGCGAGAAAGGGAGTGTGTGTGGCACGTTGACTTGACATCGATTTACAGCTCCGCCCACGATCTGATCAATTTGACATGATTGGTTTAGTTGAGATTTATTAACTAGGACGAGGGCCGGCACCAGAGCTACAAATTATGACCTGTTGAGCTCAGGTTAACTGATTGATTGATTGATTGACTTGATAATTTTATTGATTTTGTCTGGCTTTTAATTCACATAGTGTTCACGTAGGCAATGCATTTACTGATTAAAGCTACATTAAGTAAATATTTGCAGCCAAGTTATTTGAACTTGTTGTGCAAAATGATTGCTGGGCAAGTCGGGAGCATCGATTGTTAGGGCTTACACAATCAATGTTATTTTGTCAGCATCGATCGTTTTTTTTTCTAGAATGTTTATAATTATTTATAATATTTACGAAAAATGTAGCTCTGCAGTCTCTCTCATCTCTTGATATGCTGAGTTTGGTGAAAATATCTTGGAAAACACAATATTTTACCATACAAAAACTCAATTTTCTGTCTATAGAGCTTAGTTGAAACTTAAAGCTATAAGTGGAAACTTGATAAGCTTTAACTGAAACTACCGTAGTTCATAGTTATAATAGAAACAGAAAAAAACAGACAGACAGACAGAATTATGCCTATATCAACTCGGCTGTTGATGCTGATCCAGATTATATATAAATTATGGGTTCGGAAATGTCTCCTTCTAGGCATTACACATTTCATGACAAGGTATGACAAGGTAATGAAAAACCATTTTAAAAATGAAGAAACTTTGTGTGTATACCAAAGAAATATTTTAACACTATGTTATATGATTAAAAAAAAAAAAATAAAAATTTTCACATTTTCAGAGATTCAGAAAGTAAATAAAAACAAAAGCAATATAAATTTTGCATCTTCTTTCCCAAAACAAAGCCGCCCAATTTCATTTATGACCAGGGTTTGAGTTTGCTGAATTTGAAATGAAATATGAATATTTAAAACTCATGAATCATCGAGTAAACCTCGCTCGACCTGCCCTACGATGATGTAGGCAGCGCACAAAGGTTTATAAATCATGTAGGAACTCGCAAAGAAATCCTCTGTGGGTTATCGTATTTCACACACACAGCTACACACACACACCTACACACTCACAGACCTCTTTCAATTGCTGTCTCAAAGAAACCTCACAAAAAGTTAACATAAATAAATAACCAGCTCGAAAGCGAATTGCACGAAAAATAAAAATGAATGAGAAAAAAATAAAGCAAAAAGCAGAATTATTTTATAAAAAAAAAAAACAGCTAACGGTTCAAAGTGTTAATTAATTAACAGAAAGCCCATAAATCGAGTATTTAAACAGTTTTAGCCAACAAACAAAAAAAGGGCCTCTACCTTCGTATTTCACAGCATCTTCCAGTTGGAGGCGCCTGTTTGCGCAGCTAATTGCAAACAAGTCCACCCACCCACCTTGACACACTGCTACACCTGCTGCTTGGCACCTTTTGTGGCAGTGTCCTTGCCTCGACGAACGGGACAGCTGTCAGCACGTGCTGCTGCGGTCACAGTCAGATCCTGGCATTGGCCACAATGGCGCCTTAAGCAGCGCAATTAATAAACCAAAAAGCTGTGCCCAGGCTTAAGGGGTAAGGGCTCGTGGGGGCACGGGGTTGGGGGCGACAAATGCGGGTTACGGGTTACGGCCGGCGTTGCCTTGATTTATTTATACTCCCACTCTGTGACTTGACCTGATAATGAAAGTTTTATGTCCATGCGGCTGTGTTGCCATTAGGCGCCTTTAGTTCCGCAGGACAACAACTAATTGAGTCTTAACTTGTGCTTAACTCAACTAAACTGAAGCGCGAGGGTATTTCGATTTGGTCATGCAATTTGTGACGCTTGAAGGGAAGCAACTGCCTCGTCTAAGGATTTGCTTCAGTTTCTGCTGCTATTTCTTTATATTTATCATAGCCAAGAGTATTTGTTATTCGGCTTGTCAAAATTAAATTCTCTTCGTTTTGCTTGTACTCTCAGCAACATGGATATTGTCATACGTGAGGAGGAGCTATCGCTGACGCAGATTGGCGTATATGCCTCTGTATCCTTTCTGGTGGTTTCTGCGGTGGGCGCGGCACTGTACACCACCTGCTCGAAGCGCTATCGTCTCAACTGGTTTGAGAAGAATCTACTGGAATCGGCCAGCGAGAAGGATGAGGAGCAGCAAAGGTAAGTACGCCCCTATCCACCTCTTGTGCTCACTTCTTCTCAACAGAGCATCTTGTTGCAGCCGCGAGGCGCTGGTTGCCGGCGCCGTGGGCTACAATGTGGACAATTTGCATGAGGGTGTGCCGCGTGGCAAGCTGGGCCACAATAATGCGGGCAACCTGAGCCCCACTTCGCTCAAGTCGGAGGATGCCGATCCGGCCTTTTGGGTGCCCGCCTCGGTGACCTCCTCGACGGCTGCCGTTCAGCAGCAGGTCTCGAATACCACCGAGGAATCGGCACCGCCCACGCCCACGTCGCCCACAGGCAGCCTAAAATCGAACACACTCTCCCTCTGCTCGACCACATCGGTGCCCATTGCCCGCTCCGATAAGCATGTGGTGCTGGCCATGCATCCCAGCCGTCCGCGTGTCTCCTCCATGAACGCCAAGCTGGATCATACCAAAATCGACATGACTCTGTACCGCAGCGTAAGTAAATGTATTCGAGCGTGGGCTTCCAACATGTGGCTATCTTTTAATCCTTTTGGCAGCAAGCGCAGCCGAAGCCCGTGTGCCCAGCCGCGCCCATCAACGAGGTGCGTGGAAATCTGCACATCTGCCTCAGCTATGATCCGGTTGGCGGCCTGCTCAATGTGCGTCTCCTGGAGGCACAGAATCTACAACCACGCCAATTCAGCGGCACCGCCGATCCATATGCCAAGATACGCTTGCTGCCGGACAAGAAGAACTTTTGGCAAACGCGCATTCACAAGAAGACACTGAATCCAGGTGCGAATTGATATAATCCAATAAATATAATCTACGTGTCTCGGTCAACTGTCCATCCCCATTTAATGCAGCAGTTATGACATTCACAACAATTTCACTGTGATTGATTACTGGAAATTAGCACATTTTTGTGTGATTTTTGCCACCTAATTTCACTTTTGTTTGTGGAATTACCAAATGGTGGAAAAAATCCACCAAGTGCACAAAAAAAAAAAAAAAATTAGGTGAAACCCGATCTACTGCAAACACATTTTAGAAGCTCCGAGTATTTGAGAATTTATAGCATGGGCGAAAGATCAGTGAAAAACATCTGACTTACTATATATTTTCCTGAATATATATTTTGTTGATTATATAGAGACTAGAGACTAAGCTATGTGCAACTCAGATAATAGTTGAGCGAAAAAAACTGACAACAACTTGGCAAGCCACATATTTAAAAATTTCACATCCGTGGGTGAAATAAAGGTGAAATATTAATTGAAAAGTTCAATTTATGTCAGATCTTCACGCAAAATGAAAGATTTACATAAAAACTGAATAATTTTGGAACATAATCTCAAGACAAACAATTATATACCATATCTTATTTATATACAAGAAATTCACTTCCCTGTGTAAAAAAAAAGGGTGAAATGTTGGTAAAAATGGAAGACAAATAAAAGTCTGAGGTCCATATAATGCCAAGCTGCATATTTAAAGAAACACACATCCCTGGGTTGATAGATTAGTAAAAAATTAAGTTGACGTCAGATCATCCTCAAAGTTATGTGTAAGGTTCAATAGGTTTTTAATAAATCCATTTACACGGGTGAAATACAAGTGAAAATTTGAAAGCCAATTGACAAGAAATTCCATTTGACTCGGTTAAAACCGGTCGACTGAGATTTTAACTATGACTAATCTCTGAATTTCCTATTCCAAACAGTTTTCGATGAGCACTTTGTATTTGAGGTCACCGCCGGGGTCATCGACAAGCGCAGCGTGGAAATTTTACTCTACGATTTCGATGCATATTCACGCCACGTTTGCATTGGCGGCACCAAGCTGCATTTGGCCAATTTGGATCTGAGCGAGCAGCTGAAACTCTGGACACCGCTCACCTCGGCCTCGGCACAGGACATGAAGGTGGATCTGGGCGATATAATGGTCTCGCTGGCTTATCTGCCCTCGGCGGAGCGTTTGATGGTGGTGCTAATAAAGGCACGCAATCTACGCATTGTGGACGATGCACGCAACTCCTCGGATCCGTATGTGAAGGTGACTCTGTTGGGACCGGGCGGCAAGAAGCTAAAGAAGCGCAAGACGGGCGTGCAGCGCAATACCGTTAATCCGGTCTATAACGAGGCATTGGCCTTCGATGTGGGCAAGGAAACGCTCAAGAATTGTGTCCTGGAATTCAACGTGGTGCACGATGGCCTCCTCGGTGAGTGACTGTCAAGGCGATGCCCTTATACAAAATTAACTAATGTAGTCTTTTGAGCTAATTCAATTAGGTTCCAGCGAAATACTGGGTCGTGCTTTAGTTGGCAACTCGCCTGAGGTGCAGCACGAGGAGAAGATTTTCTTTGAGGAAATGTTTCGGGCCAAGAACGCAACAGCTCAGTGGGTATCGCTGCAGGAGCCGGCCAACAACTTGAGTGCCACAGCCAAGACAACAACCAAAAATTAGAATCCACAGAAGGCGCTGTGCTTGGCCTGTTAAGCTTTCTGTTAAGCTTAACAGACAACTGTTGCGCCTAGCATTAACAGAGCAGAACCCCCCCCCCCCTACATGACCATCCTTAAACCATTTCAACAAGGAGTTCATGTGGCTAAGAAATTTTCTGGGAATTTGCAGGGATACATTTAAGAAGGATGCTATGCGCGTTTGCAAAATATTCAAAACTATACAAATACATAAATAAATATAATTATGTGTATATACAGTACGATCTCGATAAGACGAACCAGGCGTTATTCGCATTTGCGAAAAATATATGTGAAATCTAGAAGGAGATATATATACATATATGCCAAATTATATAAATTTCAAATATTTATGCCTTATCATTCATTGAATTGTTAATTTAATACATTATTTTCATTTTATATATTTAAATCTGTTAAATTCAAACTTAATTTTTATTTTGAGCAAAATAATATCTAAAATTTACGAGCTTAATGATTCCTGCTTTTATTATATCGTTTATTTTGTCTATTCTAGTAATTAGTATATCGAAATTTAAAAACATTTTACGAAAAATAATATCGTTTGCCACGCTGTTCGCATTAACGAGATTGTACTGTATTGACAAAATTGAAAAACCCAAAAACTATTAAACTAAATGTGCTTTGCATTATATCAATTACAACTTTAATCAAAGAATGAAAAAAAAATCTATATATATATATATATATATTCAAACATATATTGAAAAATACTTATATGTGCTATGTGTATGTCAAGAGGTACCTAAGATGCAACTATATGATTTGCAGGCTATGTCAAAAGTATATATATATAAATATATATAATTGAATATATGAGATGAGGGCTATGAATGATAAAATCTATTTAAGTAGATCATTTTAGCTCGAATAAACATATATACAAAATATTTACTGCTACAGTTAATCGAAACCTATTGTAGAACAACTTTTCAAAAAGAATATATATTTGGAATATCCTAAAACCTGTAATATGAAGGGTTTCAGTACACAAAGGGCACAAGAGTTGAAACAAATCCTAAATGTATTTTAGTTTTTGATGTTATAACACAGAAAATTGGGCAGAAATCGAAATATTCGTATATCTTATAAAATATCGTTAGTTTTTGAGACAACAAGTCAATAGATTAGTTAAATATATCGAATGCATTATATAATCAACCAGCATGTTATAATACTATGGAAAATAAAATTCTCTATTACTTATCAAATTTGTCTATTATTGAAAAGAAAACTGTTTACTTCAAAATGGTCAAAAATGTCTTTAGCATATCTTCATATATAAATATCTTAAAAAAATCTTGACTCACCCAAAAGTTCACATTCACAGGCACGATTATTTAACTGTCATCTTTTACTAGGACGAAGAGCGGCTTTTATATGTATATAATATTCACTAGAAGAGAGAGAGTAGAGATTAGTTTGATTAAGACCCGAATAACAAATAAAACAAGAGTGAATCAAAGATAATTATTAATCAAAGTATGAACAGCTGTGTAAGCCTAGCTTGATTTAATGAGAATCGCATAGAAGAGCAATAGTCAAAAATACGTTTTTATTGTAATCGCAGTCAGCGGGAACTAAGCATGGCGTGCTTTTGGTAGGAGAGAATATATATTCCAATTGTTACCCGGCTTTGCCCGGGCCAAGTTTTTATCATACTTCGTTGAATTCCATTTTAAACCCATCTGTTTCCACAATCGGTGAAATAATATTTGGAGAAAATATTACATATATATTGATTAAATAAATAACTAAAGTTGAATGTAACTTTATTTCCGACATCCGGTTTTCCCTAATTGCTCTATTTTTCTCAATTGTAAGAAAAAAGAATTTCCGTTTCTAAAGGTTTCTGTTTCTACGTTGATTATCAATCAGTCAGTTTGTCAAACATGACAAACAGCTTTATCTATATAAAGAGAACAGTTTCTCCATCTCCTTTAATGGGCCAAATACTCGTAGAACAAAAACTTATCATCAGATGTGGCCATCATGCCAAAAGGAATGCAGTCAAAGTCTGGACTCAGTCAACCGCCCCATTGGCTCGTCCTTTTTAGCTTGACTTATTTGGCAAATACTTTGCAACTTGTTGACCAAGTTGGCGTAAAAAAGTTTCTACTCCTACTTTTTCTTACTTGCAAGCCTTTAACTAATTTTGCAACATTGACTGATATTTCCACAGGGTGCTGGGCGACGCTAGATTGGCCGTTAAAGCAGGCATGCCGAACTGAATTGTTGTCTGTGTCCGATTACTTGTCTGACTCTTTGGTATCCCTAAGTTAAACGTAAATTTCCTTTCAATCAAAATGTGCTTTCATTCAATTTAGTAGCGCTGTGGCAAAAGTAGCTCTGGCTGCAAAATAGAGTGAAAAGCCGTCGAAGAGCAAAAAAAAAGTGGAAAAAGGCAGCACCAACTTTGAACTATTGCCAAGAATTGATGGCGCCAAAAAGTAGACTACAGTAGTAGTAGCTGCTTATCGGCAAACGGAAACTCTTACCCCCCCCCCCCCCCCCTCTCTATCTCACTCTGATAGATTGTCAGCTAAGCACTTATATAGATAGATGTATTATGTGTATGCATGTGTACACTGCGTATCCTGGTTGGGTATGGAAAGTCAACATCGGAGATAGCCCCAACGACACCGCAAGTTAGGGAAATTGTTTGGCCAAATATTTGTCTGCCGCTTGCCAATCAGTCGGATAGTTGGCTTAAAGTCAAATTTTCAGATATGGTTGGTAATAAAATTAAGGCCAAAATCAGTTGAAAGTCGAAAATGCTGAGGTTTAATTATATTACGTACAAATGTGACAAGTGCGTCAAAACCGATTCAAAATCGTTACTTAACCGATTCGCAACTAATCGATGTGTCAATTTTGTATAACCGATTCATAACCGTTTCAATGTGAATCTTTATATTTCAGGCATTAAAGCTATTACACTGCAAATTTGTATTGTGCCTCCTAAATAACCGATTCACTGATATTTACGTAAATGATTGGGAATATAATTAGCAAGACCCCAAAAAATATAAACAATTGCAAAATTTTTTTTAAATAAACTAGCTTAAGAAATCTCCTAAATCAAGCATATAAAGGCTTGCCTTTTGCGAAGATACTGTTCAAAAACCGGTTCATAACCGTTTCAATTGGCGGCGGTTGAGACTTGCCCTGCTGTTCCTAATTATATTTTATTATTTATTGAGTTGCATTCTAACCGGTTCAGAGTCAATTCAATAAACAATGTCATAAACTTGCGTCAAATATTGAAAGTTACCTCTTAAATATGATTTTCTTGTGGCGAGGCCAAACGGTAATTAATACAAGTTTCATAACCGTTTCGACTTATGGCGTCTTGGGCGTGATACAATCTAAGCCCAACAGAGGGATGCATGGCAATTATATGGAGAGACAATTACGTGACAGCTTTAAAGTTAAATCGTGGCCCGTTGCATTGTTCGTGCTTATTGGATTTTGCCATTAATCCAGGCTGCGCTGCTGATACGTATTTATTGGCCATTCAATATTTCAGCTATTTCTCATTCCCAATTCGCAATTCACATTCCCACTTACCCATTTAGCTATCAATTTTTCGCCAAAATACTTCGCATCAAAGTCAGTGCCAATAAACTGCAAGCGACTAACGAGCAAATTCCATTTTTAATTTCGTCATGCCACTGTCTGCTGCTGCTGCTTCTTCTTCTGTTTCTTCTTCTGCTGTTTTTTTTTTCAACGCCACTTTATCCAATTCTTTTATGCTGCTTTCCCGCTTTGCTGCACATTTTGGGTGCTATTTCGTTTCGTAAAGCTTGTCAGCGGAAAACGTAAACTAACGACATTTTCGTTTTCTTATTTACACAATCAATTTCGAGCTTTTGTGATGCGGCAAAAGGCGAACGGCAAATGCGGAGAGCAGAGCACGACAACAACAACAACAACTACTGCTCACCCACACTCGCGCTCTTTCTTTTTAGACTGTTGCATTTTTTGTTGTTTGTAAAAGGGTATATTGGTTATGTGCAATGTTTGAATTGCTGATCGTTCGTTCTGCTGTCTGTCATTTAATATTTTTAAATTCAATGGGCAGCTCACTGGGGGCGTGGCAAATTGATTTACACACAGCTCTTAAATATTTTGGCCCGCTTTAAACTTTTCAAATAGTTGCAGTCAACACGGTAATGAGTATAACGCAGTCGGTCACATCCGACTGCAACATACAAACATAAATGAATTTGTACTTGCCGGTTTGGTTGTTTTCGTATGTTACTCCCGTTGTTTCGTTAAGTTCGCCTTCGCATTCACATTCGCATTTGGTGTTGGCATTTTGTGCCGCGAGGGAAATTGTCGTCAAAGCGCAAAAAATGTTAGATTGTTGTTTTAGCAGTGCAGCCGGCCCCGCACCCGCACCTCATCCACACACATGTCGCTTATGGCCGTGCATTGCAATCTGTGTGCGTGCGTGTGTCTGTGTGTGTGTGGAGCTAGTAATAGTTCTAGTTCTAGTTTCTTGTTACATTTACTGTTTTTTTTTCTCCTAAATTTGCCATGTCTCGCCCGCTCTCGTTCACGCTGCCATCTTTGTTGTGTGTTCCTTTTGATGTTGACCGCATTTGCTGGCTGCGCTCGCTAGCGCTCTCCCTCTCTCGCACTGTCTGTTTTTTGTAGTTCTTTTTTTTTTTGGTAGCCCTTATTGTTTATGCAACTGTCAGCAGTTTTCGTTGCCCGTTTCTGAGGAAGTTTTCGCTCACAATTGGAGATTTACTTGGCTGCCTCATGTGTGTGCGTGCCTGTGTGGGTGTGTGCTTGTGTGTTTGCGTGTTTGCTTTGGCTCAGCTTACATGGACAGTGTACACTGTGCGCGCGCGTTTCTCTGTGTTGCTTCATATTTGTTGTCATTTCCAATTGTTTCTACGACTTTTGACAGCTAGCAGATTAGCTTGGTGACGCCTCTGCAGATAACAGCAGCAGCAGCACGAGATACTCGGTACGCTCGTTTGTTTATTGGCAGCGCCATCACGGCATGCGGCTAAAGAGATTGCCCTGGGAAATCAGCGATATACAGCAGAAGAGAGAGGGAGAGAGAGAGAGAGGGCAAGCGAGGTATGCTGCCTCACTCACAGTGTGGGGCCCACACACCGCCCGACTAGAGATTGAACAAAATAACAAATTGCGATTGCAGCTCGTTTTGGGCATCGAAATGTGTTTGTCAATTCGTTTGATTTCTGATTTCTCATAGTCAAACACATAATTCGCTTTTCGATTGTTAAGAGTAAGATATATTGCTTATTATTATTATCTGTTTATTTTTCAATTAGTGATATTTTTATAATTTCATTTCAAATGGCAAATGAAAAATGTGATTGCAGCTCTTTTTGATCGAAATGAATAATTCATTTCGTTTTAGATTCGATTTATAGTCATCGATTCTTTAGAATTAAAAACGATTGAAGTTCTATAATTATTTTTTTTATTTTTTTATATTGCTCTGAGAATAATTCTTTCTATTAAATTAAGTTTAACTAGCCTTTTGTTTTTGAATAAAAGTTATTTCCACAATAACTTTTGGCAAATATATTTTCGTTATTCTTTCTAAATGGCAACTAAGCAGCGGGGTTGCAAAGCAATTATAAAAGCCATTTTCAGTGTCAACAACATGCATGAAGAATTTGACTAAAAAGTGAAAAAATGAAAATTAATTAAATTATTTGAAGCTAAGCAATGTCACATGTGCGGTTAGCTCATGTGCTCCGCACGGCTGCATAAAGCTCATCAATAAACAAAATTTATGGCTAAAACACAATTGCAGCGAACAAGGACAACAGCAGCCGTAGCCAAAAATGGGGCGCCAAAAAAGCTATAGCCAAAGCCAAAGCCAATTAAAGACACGCCTCAACGGCAGCAGTAGCAGCAGTGGGCGTGGCACAGTGCTGTAAAACATCGGGAACATTTCCCAATGCCGCTCCTGCGCCCGGCCCCGTTTCCACAGCAAGCCGTTAACAATGTTAACTGGCCAACTGGCTCCTGGTTCCTGGTAGTTGGTGACGAGCAACCAAATTTCCGCACCCAATCAGCATATTTAAATTGTGTTGTGTTGGTGATTGAAATGCATGAAGTACGACACAACGTAACTACGGTAACACACCATCAGTTAGAAACAGTGTTGTATAATTTTTAAATTTAGCTTCAGCTAGAAGCAACTTTCTTTGACGTACTTTTGACAAACTAGTTTTTTCTTTCTATTATCTACTAAAATATTTTAGGACCAAATTTCCTACAGTATTCTCAACATGGAACTAGACTCAAAAAGGTTAGCTTAATTAAGGTTTCGACTAAGCTATGCCTAACTGTAATTAAGCGAAAAAGCATTTATTTTAATCTTTTTAATTAAAGCAACTGAAATACCTAGAACAGAAAGATGGCAAAGGTTGTTTTCTGGAACTTCCAACATAGCTTTGCTTTCCTTATATGCCTGCATTCCTTTAGCATTCACAGAAGCTGGCAACACTGGCTGAAGGCCACCATCCGGCTGAAGGACACATGCATATACCATATATCAGAGGGACACACTGGCAAACATGCATTTTTAGCAACATCGGTAGCTTGGTGGCTTTTCCCACAGTTTAATGGCCAGCAGCGCTTCGATTTTGATGCTGATTCTCATAGCCATTCTCCCATTTCCATTCCCATTCCCATTCCAATTCCAGTTCCTGTTCGATGCTGTTTCAGCATTTTTGTTTTGATTGTTCGATTTTCTACTTTGCTGTGCATTTCCCTACCTAGTTTTCCTATACATCTATTTTTATTTTGGATTTTTTTGTGCCTTCCTTTTCCTTTTTGTTTTATTGGCAGCTTGTGTGTTGGTCAACCGCCGCAGCACTCTAATTGCCAGGCAACGACTGAGCTGGCAACACATGCGAAGGCTTTACCATTTTTCGGATGCACACAAATCGTTTGAATATTGTTTTCCTTGCCTGGTTTTTGTTCGAGCCCTCACTCCCACTTCCACCTTTCCCAACACCAACACACACACTCAAAAAAAAAAACTACGAAGGCCTGGGAGTGAAAAAATACGGTCACACTGGCCGGCTAACACTTAAAGCTATCCATTTTTAATTGGAATTTAGGCGCAAAGTCGTAAATATTTTGGCCATAGGCACATGGAACTGTCCCGATAGCACAGCACAGCCGCACGTATTCCATTTTTGGCGAATGCCTTCAAGTGGTTGCCGGCGAGTTTCGAGTACAGATATTGCAGTTTGAAGTGGTTAACAGCAGGTGGTGCGGCTATGCGCAACTGATAAATGAATCAAATATGTGTGTCGGCCAGCACAAACGATTCATAACATGCCCAAAAGCGGGCTTAAATCCTGGCCAGAGCGTGGAGTCACTAAAGCCATAGCTAAAAAAAAATAACAACATGTGTCATACACCTGGTTAGAGTTGGGAGCCCTTAGAGCTTCGTTTCGTGACACGAATTAGGTGTGGATCGTGCCTATCACGACCTTACACGCAAATGTAACTCATATAAATCAACTAAAGTTTGAAATTTTATAAGATAAAACTGATAATTTATATATTAGGCTTATATAATTAGCAACAATCATTATAAATAAATATATAAGAAGGAACAACGTGGAATGTCATCTTAGTTTGATCGTGCACTGACCTTGACCTTGCCAGTGCAATAGAGGTGCAGTATTTTTCAAGATTAATTATGCATTTTCAATAAGATATGGATATCACATGCAATCGCCATTATTAATACTGTCTTTTTGGGATTTTACCACAAGCGCGGTATTTTTAATTGATTTCTTATCGATTATCGATATTTGTGCTTTTATTTTTGCATGTCGCTTTTGATTTACGTATGTGACGTCGCGTTGCGAAAAGAGAATGAAGAGAGAATGAAGGAAACGTTTGCGCGTGTGTTAATGGCAAAAGCGAATTGAGATCAGTTTGCAGTGAATACAAATAAAGTTCAAGTGATACGCAAACCTAATTAATATAATGATCATACAAAGTGCAGTGAAGTGTGTGTGAAAATTCGGGAGCCGGTTCAAGCCTGCAAAAGACATTGGCCACAGTCCGTCAGGCTGGCTGCAGAACAAAATGCGAGGCGGCGCCGGCTCAAAACATTGTTGCCATGTTTGTGCAGTGCGTGTGGCGTGCGGCTTGTGGCGCTTTGCGTGTTTCGTGTTCATGTGCCGGGCAGCTCCGCGAAAAGATAGAGAGAGGGTGAGCGGTGAGCGGTGAGGGGGGGGGGGGGGGGGGCAAACATGCCAAGTCGTAGCGTTGAAAATCTTAACGTGATTTAAGCATCGTGACGTTGCCGGCAACTAAACTGAAACGAAGGCGGGCGCAATGCCAACGTCGCTGACAGCACAGTCAGAGCAGACAAATGGTTGTGCGGGGGATCTGGCGCGGGGGCGTAGTGGTCGTGCGGGGATGTGGCGCGCGGGACAGTTGCTGTCCGCACAATTGGCACGTAGCTGCCAGCATGTCGCTGCATAAGCCCGTGCGTGTGTATGTGTGTGTGATCAGTTTTAAAGTAAAGATGGCCGCGTGACGATGTTTTTTTTTGTTTCTCTCATTCTAATGCGAGCGCGAACGACATGCACGACTTTTTGCAATGTTTTGCATGCCTGTTTTTTTTTTTTTTTTCAATGTGCTTTGTTATGAGTTTACAGTTATTTTTTGAAGAAAATCTTTAAATTGTGCGAATAAATGCAACGATAAATTAATTCAAATTCACATTCTGCCAAGTTTTTAAAATATAAAAATATAATTTTTGTAGAAAAATTTGTATTATTAATATGCAGCTTACTATTATTTAAATGAAATTTTTTAGCTTATTTTATGTACTATAGTACAGTTGTGATAACATGCAAAAGATCTACATTTTTTCAACACGCACATAACATGCTAAGACGTGTTTATTCGTGTCACGACACGCGCTTAACTCCAGTGGAAAGTGCCTTGCGTCGCGGCGTTTCTCTCATATTTTGACAAAACTCAACCAACTGCTTCAGTGCCTCCTAATCAGCAGCTGACTTTGATGTACTTGCTATTTAAGTGCATAAGCGTCCAAAGAGCACGAAATAGGGTGAGAGTGCGAGAGCGAGTGAGAGAGAGAGGGAGAGAGAGCGCGGCATGGCTGGAGCAGAATGGAGCCTTCGCCCACACGTGACACAAATAGGTAATTGCTCTTTGACTATGGCCTAAAATATGGTCCGCTCTGTGGCAATGGTATCACTTGCCCAGCTTCTCTCGACCCCCCATTCCCCTACGATTCCCAACAAACTTTAAACTTTAATTCAATCAGATGTTGTTGCACATAATCGCAAAATGGCTGAGCAAAGCTCTAGTACGGCATTTTTTTTTACAGCAGCTTCTCAAATAGTTGCACTAGCGAAAATATAGTACGGCATTTTTTTTTTACAGTAGCTTCTCAAATAGTTGCACTAGCAGAAAATATACTTTGACAGGGACTATAATAGTTATTTTATAATGCATTTCTGAATTTCTATTTGGGAATAAAATATTTTTTTAAAATTAGAATATGATATTAATTAATAATACTTATTTTTTATGGATAAAAGCGCTTTTACAAAGCGTTTTAGTTAGCGAATGATTACTGTATTTAAATTAAATATGTTTTTCACTTTCGAGTAATTCACAATATGTTTGCAATTAATTTAATTATGTGTGCACACAGAAGCAATGTTAATTGAATTAATTTATGTTGTTTTTTTCACAATTTAAAGCCGCAAAAAAAAAAAATTTAAATAAAAATGCATAATAAAGCCCGTGTCACGATCACGCACGAATGAATCACGCGTTCGGTTTAGAAATAAGCAAAATTGACACACGTTGAAAAAAGTAAAACCAAAAATAAAAAAGTTGCCCAAAAAGTGTGCAAATCTATTTGAATATCTATTCGGGCTCGTTTCGTCCCTTTTTTTTTTTTTAATTTTTTTTCTGGTGTGCCAGCAATGTGTTTCGATTTGTGTGCTGTCGCGTGAAAAAAATTCGTTGACAGCCGTGAAAATCTTCAAAAATGTGCAAGTTTATACGCAAAAAGTCTGGCTGAAATAAGATATGAAAAAGTGCGGTTCTGTGTTATATTTAAAGTGTTCCAAAACAGAAAAACTTGCTGAGAAGTTGAGCTTTACAGCTGTTGCAAGGTAAGTGAAGAACGCTTCCACTTAAAATTGCGGAAAATACGTGAGTTCCTAATGTAACTCATTGGAAAACATTAATAATTGCAAAGTCGAGACAATTGCAAACTTTGCAAACTTCTGTAGAGCTAAGCTTCTGGGTAAAGGGTCGGCCATTATCATATTTGCATAGTTTGGCCACACTGCGCGACGTGTCCTGTGTCGTGTGTCCTGCAATTGTCATTTTGGTGCTGTTATCCTAACCCTATCGGTGGCAATGCAAACCATCCATGCGAATTGTGTTAAACAATTTGTTGGCCATGTTCTGGTTGTTGCTGCAGGCGCAAACTGATTTAACTTATCGCGCTTGCCACGCGCCAGTCATGTGTAAACAAGCGAGCGACAACAACAACACCTTGTTGCAAGGACACACACACACACACACACACACACACACACACACACACGCAGTTAGACTCGCCATGTTACAATTACTGGCGGCAACATGTTTGTGCCACAAGTGCGGCAGACAGCGCAACAAGAGGCAAGTTATCCCCAATATTTATAATAAATATCCAGCTATTTGGCATTTGGGTTTGCGAATTTGGCTGGAAATGATTTACGACTGGCTCCAGAAGGAGTCAAACCTAATTCCTTCACTCGCATCGATTTCCCTTTTTAGTATAAATACTTTATGAGCCGATTTTCTATGAAAATATATTGACTATTTCTTTCAGAGATTTATCTGTGTTTGAAAGTTTCGAACTTATTTAAGAATTGTGCCATCACGCAGTGCACTTGAGTCTGTCCGACTAGAAAATACGCCGTACTTGAATATGAATTTATAAATAACTATTTTTTTAAATGTCAAATTTTTAAATAATTTGAACACGTTCATAATGACATGTTCACGTAGCAAAATCCAAAACTATTCCTCTTGGATTTTCTATTATTTTGGGGTAGGCAGAGACGCCTTCTATAAGTCTTACTTAAAGTTTATTGTAGGACAAGCTCATATGTTCTTTGAGATAGGCTCAAAATGAGAGCTAGAATACAATACGTTCAATATAAATTAATACATTTTCAATATCAATCAATACAAATGTAAAGTTATATACAAATCTTCAGCTCTTCGAGTAACTGAGCTTAACGCACTTACTCAGCTTTTCAGTTGTTTATTCCTATTAAGAATATTTGAATGTTGTTGGTCCGAGCTGCATCTTTCTGCTTTTACGATATGCTTCATCAACTCATCTAAGGCTTTGTATTATAGTAGGAGTATTATAATTGTGACATGAAATGTGTATATATATTCTAGATCAGCATCAACAGTTGAGTTGATATCACCAGGTCCCTCAGTCTATCATTGATCCCTGATCTATCCCTCTGCCATTATCTTGAAACTTTGCAAAGGTCCTTCTTTCAGTTGCAGGCAGTACATATGTTTGCCGCATCTGACCAATATATCATAGAAACCAATCGGTCGACAAGTAAGTTCTTATAAGGAAAACTCTTTTGTTATCATCATCTCATCATCTCAGCATCTTGGCCAAGCTGGGCATTTTTGAATGTTTACTATGCACCCCAAAAATATGCAACATATTCTCAACATATTATTTTGGATCACGCTTCTTATATAGATAGCTCTATAGATATAGCTCTATAGCTCTCACATATCTGCAAAGCCACAAGACAAATATTTAAAGGGTATCGGATCTTCGGCTTGGCAAAGATATGCGTCCTGTCTCGTTTCAAGTCCCATTTTAAGGCACCCAAAATCCCTTTGTTTGTCTATTCTACAGCTACAATTGCATGCAAGAGTATCTAATATTCGACTTGCTCAAGATAACTGCGCTTTCTCTTGTTTTACTTGTCTCCAACTCCTTCAAAAAATGACTTGAGCTGCCGTCAGCTCGTGTGAAGTTTATGAGCCAAAGTAAATCTGGAACATGCTGTGCACCTATGTATATAAGTCAAGCCTCATAATTTTGTCATTTTTCAATTGAAACTCATAACATATGTAAATGTATGTGACTGGGTTGTGCACACGCACACGCACCCACAATAAACATAAGCCTCGACGTGTGCTGCAGCTGCTTGTGTGTATTTTTCGTATTGCTAACTGGCTAAAATTCTATGCCAGACAGTCATAAAACATAAATCTGCAACACTCGAACAACAACAACAACAACAACAACAAAACAGCTAACGAGTAAAAAAGTTGAAAAAGTTCAAGTGCTCGCAGTTGCCGGGATTTCGAGTCCCAAAAAATTCGAATTCGAATAGAAATAGAAATAGGTAACTGTTATCCGACTGTTGCCAAGTTATGTTGCTTTGTATTTTTGTATTTCATATTTTTGTTTATGTTTTGTTTTGTTTGCTCTCTTTTAGTTTTTCGTATTTGCTGAATGCTCGATAGTCATAAATATGCCACAAAGGCAACAACAAATTTTTACTGAATTTATTTCGTATATTTCTATTTTTCCACTCGCTTTTTATACCCTATTGCCATGCCTCGAACCCACAAAACTATGCAGAGTGTATGTGCACCTGGTCGGGACAATGAGCTGGGTCTATTGCCCTTCAGAATGCGTCGATTTTAAGAGGGTTTACGAGTTGAGACTTGAATGTTATAATAATTGGCGTTGATCAAGGGAAATAAAAAATCTATAGAAATGTATTTTATATAAAACCAAAAAAATAAAAATATAATAAAATAATAATAACAAAAATAATAATAATAATGATGATGATACTGATTAAAATAATCATGATAATGAGAATGATCATGGTAATAATAATGATTATGGTGATGATAATGATGATAATGACGATAATGATGATAATGACGATAATGATGATAATGATAATGATAATGATAATGATTTGATAATGGTAATGATAATTATAATGATAATGATAATAATAATGATAATGAGAACAACAATGATAATAATAATAATAATAATAATAATAATAATAATAATAATAATAATAATAATAATAATAATATAAATGAGAATAATAATGAGGATATAAATGATAAAACCAGCAATAATAATAATAATAATAATAATACAAACCGGAGCTCGGAGCTGATTAGAGGGTATTTCATTGTTGGGCTCTTTCGACCGAGGGCGCACTTGCTTTTTTTTTTGGTTTGGACCCGTTTTATTCCGTCTGTGTCTTAGTTAACCCGCCCCCGACTTTAGATAGGTCATAAAAAATGGCTGAACACAGAACGCGAAAAATATGAATGAAAAATACGACTAATAACAATGTCTTTGTGTTCGAGGCTCTGCCACGCCTACACAATTTTATCGCGCACACCGAAAAAAAAATTGTGAAATGCGACTTGGGAGGCAACAAAAACCGAACGGAAAAAAGGCCAACGTCCTGGCAATGTCCTGGCAAATCCACTGTCCAGCTAGCAGGCAAGTTTGCCCTGTTGTTGTAATCAACATTGTTGTTGTAGTTGTCCTGTTTGTTGTCCTTGCTGAAGCAACAGCAACCGCAAAAGCCGCAGACAAACAGTTTGTTGGCCTGCGGCTTGGCTTTCGGCTGGCATTGAGGCATAGTGGGCGTGGCCAAGCGTCCAAGTTAACGTGCATTCGGTTTATGAATACAGTTTTGACTGCAAGCGTTCAGCCACAAATATGCGAACCCCTCGTCCAACGTCTAGAGTTGTGGCTCCACAAACACACAAACACACGAACTGAACTACAATTGCAAAACTTCTATTTAACGCAATTTTTCCATCAATTTATTCGCTTCTTCTTGCTGCTGACTGTTGCCCATGAAAATGGGCTCCTCTCATGTTTTTTATTTCATGTTGTTTGTTTGGGGCTACGCAAAATTTTAATTGCCTAACTGTTTTGATACTCGCAAATTTTGTTTACATTCGTTTAATTTGGCAAAAGTCAAACAAATGCTGCCATTTTTTCCACGTTAAAGTTAAACAAATTTTCAATATTATTAATTGGTTATTAGTTTGCAAATGGAGTCTTGAATTTTGCAGAGATTTTTACAATCGACTTTTGTAAATATCATTACTTGGCCAATCATTTTGATAATAATAATTATTATCCATTAAATTTTGTAAAAAAGTTTCTTATTTTATTTTATTAGTTTGTAATTTTATTTCAATAGATTGTTTTTTCGATATATTTGTATGCTTGTTAGAATTTTTTTCACGATTCGATCTTCGTGGTGATTTGGCATATAAATATAATTTCTTTCTGTGCATAAGGTTTTACTGCGGCCTTGCTCGTGATACGTACAAAACAAATAAACAAAGAGCAAGTCTCGTGGAAATCGGTTGAGATTTGACCGAGCAGTGGGGTAGGAAATACTTGGCATATGTCTATATAGGATATTCACATGAATTATGAACAAGAATGATGTGGCCAGATTTAGATGTCCAAATGTCCAATCTGTCAGCCAGTCGTCAGTCAATCAGTTAGTCAGTCTATCTGCCTGTTAGTCAGTCAATCAGTATGTCAGTCACTTAGTCAGTCAGTCAGTCAGTCAATCAGTCAGTCAGTCAGTCAGTCAGTCGGTCAGCCAGTCAATCAGTCAGTCAGTCAATCAGTCAGTCAGCCAGTCAATCAGTCAGCTAGTCAATCAGTCCCTCAGTCAGTCAGTTAGTCATTCACTTAATCAGGCAAACCTTTTTATATATAGATATTATTGGAATATATTTGGGGTCCATTTACACATTTTCATTTACATTGTGTGAAAGGGAGGGGTGTGCTTCCCCCCCCCCCCCCCCCCCCCCCTTCCCCCTCACAAATGCAGCCGCTTCATGTCGTTAGTTTGGTTTTATTGATATGTAAATATCGCACACTTATGCACAGAAAACTCAATTCTTAACATTTTTTTTTATATTCTTTAACACACGCTCTGAAAATGCTGCGCACGTCGCGCAATTATGGCTCTAATATGCACTTGACAATGTAATGACATTTATTGAGCGGCATCTTCTTCTGCTGCTGCTGCTGCTTCTTCAGCTGCGAGGCGAGTCGCGA